AGTCAGTCCACTGAATTTACCTTGAAGTCTTTTGCAAATCTATTGTAAAAATTCCCCAGTCATGTTCCAAATTACATGACAGCTTCAGCATCCCCTACCAAGCAGGGCTGCACCAGAGCTCCTGAACCCTGAACTGCCAAGCAGGAACAGAAATAACCATCACAGAGCCATTTTCCTTCAATGGATTATTGATACTAATTAATAATTAACAGTACTATAATAACATTAACAATATTATTACTACTAACAGTAACAGAGAGTCAAAGCAGGAGTAACTTCTCCATTTCCTCACTTTCTCAATTCCCACTTTCAACGACTTTCTCAACTTAAACCAAACCAGCAAAAAAAAAATTTTTCTCTGCATCTACAGAACAGTTCATTATTACTGAGTGTCACTCAGCACTTCACAAAATGTAGTTTCTGGCATTTAGTTACAAATTCCTACCAGTTCAGTGATCTAGAAAATCTTGATTATAACAGAGGGCTATCAAAGCATTACTCTAAAAACATTACTTTTAGTGGCTAATATCAGGTTTGTGTTTGTATAGGACTGTAATGAGGATTTTTATCTGTTTTTATTCCACCCCTTTTTTTTTTTTTATACAGCCTACTAATAAACAGCCAGCATAAAGAAAATAAGGATCTGTCAAGCTATAAATAAAAACTCAAAAAAGGCAAACAGTCCATGAGTGAAAGAGTCTAAGGAACAGCTTCCAAAAGGCATTAAAGCACCATAACAAGGTATTTTCAAAGAAATTAGGGCTACCACCAGTATAGCAGAATCCAAAAGGTCAACAGATCACCCAATTGTTAATAAAAATCCAAAAACCAAAACCAACCAAACATAAAAAGGGGGAAAAAAAAGCATTTAGAGAAGATAAGGCTCAGATGTTCACAAACAAGAAGTTTGGAAAGATTGCGATGTCAGAAAAGCTTCACAGGGGACACACAAGAATTTTTTCCTGAAGTTAAAGCCCTGACAGAAGTGGTTGGAGGACAATCATAAATAAACCCCACAAAAGCCAAACCCCCATTCCCTGCCCCCAAAAATCAGGAGTTTGCCAAGTTCAGATGACGCCCACAAAAGAAACTCAAGGATGAAACAAGTGCAGCATTAAATGCGATCTGCAGTTTGATTTTTACCACCTTATCAGCAGAGGGCCTGCAGATTGCCAAGAGGAGCCAGGCCTGCAAAAAGCCCTGGAAAAAGCCCTGAAGCCATGCTCACACCAGCCTGGGGAGTGTGTGTGGGCAAGGCAGCATCACTCAGCAGTGCTGATGCACAGGGACAGCTCACACTGCCCAAATCAGCATTTCTGTGGCTCTGGCTTTGGACACAGAGGGCTCTGAGCTGGGCATTGCCATGCAGGAATGAGACTCTGGCATGAGGATGGAAAGGGCCATGGAAATGCCAAATCACTGCTCTGCAACAGAGAAAAGCAAAAACAACTGCAAGGAATTGCTGGGAGTGGAGCACTGGCTGAAATCATTGCTGCCTGCATTTTAACTTCCAGCACAGGGAACAGGAAGGAAAGGGAGAAGATGACATTTATGAAAGGCAGCTGAACACAAACACACTGCCTGCAGCCCAGGGAAGCACAAAGCTGTGAATTACTGCAAACCAAGTGAGTCTTCTGGGAGGGAACTGCCCTGCTCCTGCACCTCTGTGCTACTGATCAGCCACAGAGACCAATATTGGCAAAAAGAACTCAGCCTGCCCTGCAGGGCTTTTGTCATTTATTCTCTCTCTTTTTTTTTTTTTTTTTCCCCAGAGCTGGAGCCTTAAAATTGCATTGCAACTCGGAATGAAGGCAAAAGATTGCAATGATACCTTAGGTGATCCAAGGAAGCCACAGGAAATGGATTTAATCCAAAAGCAGCAAGCCCCAAATCTCAGCCCCTCTGAGGCCAGCACTGATGTGTCTTTGCCTGCAGTGAGCTGCTCATGAACCACTCACAAATTCACCAACCCTTGCCCAGAAATGGAGGTAACTGGAATTCACCCCTGCCCAGAGCAGGAGAAACCAAAGCCCAGCACATCTGTCACCAGCTGGAGCCCCTGAGCAAACAGTGAGTGCAGGCCCCACTGGCTGTGCCAGGGATGCACAGCCCCACCAAACCTGTCATGGCACAAACAGGCTGCTCAGGGTGACAGGAAATCATTGCAGCATTCAGAGCTTCATTTCTCTAAAATACGACACAGCAGGATGATGAGCTGGACAAAGCACCAGAAATCCAGACAGAAAAGAAGGAAGCATCCATCCACCCCAGCAAGTGTCCCAGGATGGGAAGTTATTTTATTTTCTGACCACACACCTGTCACCCACACAGATACCCACACATCAGGAGTCTGTGGCAAAATTCTATTATTAATTCTGTTTTGACAAACCAATGAGACAACACAATTTGGGGTTTTTCCTTCTCCCCACCAAAGGTCAAGCAATGTTGTTGCTGCCTCATGCAGTGAAAACAATCAGAAGCTCATCCCCCAGTCAGTCTGACACCTACACACTGAACAGGCACAAGGTTTCCAACCCTGGCCAATATTTACTAATATTTAACTAATAGGAGCATTCTTGTTCATATCCAGAGGGGCAAAGTATCACCCTAAAATATAATACATTAAAAATGGACTATATTTTGTAAAAATATAATGTATTGTAAAATAAAATCTATTGTAAAATGTAAAATGTAATGGATTGTAAAATATACAGTACAAAATGTATTGTAAAAATATAATGTATATAATGTATTTGTAATGTATAATGTATATAATGTGTATAATGTGTATAATGTGTATAATGTGTATAATGTATTTGTAATGTATAATGTATATAATGTATTTGTAAAAATACATCTCTTTTGCATCAAAGAGATGCTTGGTATTAAAAGAGTGAAAGAAGTAATTCTGCAAATTTAGGGCAACCTGAAATCTAAGAAAGGAGCCCGTCCCAAAAGGTGTTTAGCACACCAGGTGCATCTTGGGAGTCAATTAAGAGAAAATAACTTAGGAGAAAATCTGGATTATGGAATATGGTCATTAACAGAAGAATGTGTGGACACAGGTATTTCAGAAAGCCTCCTTTAATTTTAAAATTTAAAAATATTTCTAATAAACCAAAAATATAAAATAATCTAGTGGAAATGGGGAAAATTAATTGGGAAAAAATAGTTGAATGTGATCAACAGGTTAAGTTCCATTTTTCTGTGCTGTTTGCTTCAGCAGAGCTCCATCCCAGTGCTCTCAGCATGGAGAGTCCCTGGGGAGCCCCAAGGCAGGAGCAGAAGTGAGTCTGTTCCAAGGGACACTGGGAATGAGTGAGTGAAGGTCCCTGTGCAGCTGCAGGTATCAGAGAGCACAGCAAAGCTTTTCCAGACACTTTGAAACAAAACCTCACCGTCCGGTTTCTCTGGTTAGAGCCAAAATACAAATATGCTCCATAAAAGGATTAAAAATAGCACTGCCTATGAAAAATTAATGCAACACATTAAACTCAAAATGTGCATTTACAGAGGATGAAACAGCTCTGGAGATGTCAGGGATTCCTTCCTTCTCCTGTACTGCACAGTCACACACAACAGCAGACCTGGAAAACATTCCTCCCTTTAGGTGTGAACCCACACAAGAGAAAGTCACTGCTCCCCACAATTTCAGGTACATGACCATTAAAGCTGTGTCTCACAAACATTTTACAGACAGACTGGAGAGCAGGTGCCCATAGCTCAAACCAGCCCTCTGCAGGCACCCCAGGGATTTGTGACTGTCACACTGCTCACTCCTGTTGGACAGCTCCAACACCAAACACAGCCCTGGCACACAAACTGGCTGCAGAAAAATCAACCCCAACAGCTTTAAATGCCTTCCTCCTTTCAGCTGCTCACAACTCTTTCTATGGTATAGCTCCTGTCCTCTGTTAAAACTAAGTGTTTTACTTAGCTGAAGCACTGAGAAAAATCTTTCCATTCTTTATGGGTCAGTTGCTTATGAAATTAGTTTAATTTTTTTTTTTCTTGGATACTGGATTTGGTGTTAAATATGAACTGAAGCACAAGCCATATGTGATTCCCTTCTGAAAAAACAGTTTATGTATTGAGTATAAAAAACACATTTTGACTGTTCCAAGCACAAGCAGTAAATGTTTAACATGCAAATTCCCTCACACACAATATGCAATAACCTTATTTTGGCACATGGTTACAAGCACTACCCTACCAACTGTACAGTTACCTTCACAGTTTTTCCAATCAACTCTGAAATCCCTAAATACAGCAATACATATTTTCTTTTAACAACCAAATTCTTTCATTATTTTCCAAAACTCAGTTTACAAGATTTCCAGTCTACTTTTTACCTCCCTCAGTGGTTTCAGCAAAGATTAAGGACAATCAATTCTTTCCAAGCTCTCTCCTGGAGCTTGTGTCTGTTACCTCATTTCCTGGCTCCTATGAAGCAATGTGAGACAAGACTTTGGTGAAAACTATCATCATAACATTCACATTTTCAAATACTGAGTTCAGTTCCTCAAAAATAGTCATGAACCCCTTGGCATATGAGACTGAAATTCTTCCATCACTCTCTTTTCTTCAAGCGGTCACGCAGCTGAGAAGGGTTTTTAAAAACATTCCCAGAGAGTTTTCCAACTGCCCCAAGCAACCATCTCTTCTTTTCTCCCTTTCCCAATTCCCAATGACATATTTCAGAAAACACTCCAGCTCTCAGGGTGTTTCTATTTCTACCCTTGTTCATCCCTGCTAGCTCTGTTCAGTTTCTCCCTTTCACACTCATTCAAACCACAGTACATAACATACAGCACCATACATTAAATTTAAACAAGAACAAATTGTTTTCCTTCATCATTCAGGCAAGCTTTTCAATCAAAATCAGATCTTCAATCAAAATCAGATCTTCATTAAAGATCAGATTAGATTTGAGGCCAAGGACTACACACATCATCTGAAGCCACACAAAACAACTTTATTGATTTAATATAAAAACTTACCCACTTGGCAATTGGACACCCCTGAGAGCTTTTTCCTTCCTTTCCTGTATAAACCACCACCTCAATTCTTACAGCACTTCCTTTTGCTCCATACCTGCATTAAAAAAAGTTCATGACTAAAACAAACAACTATACACAATTATAAAATGAAACTTTTTCAATAAAAGATTAATCAATTTATTTTTACTTAGAACAGAAGAAAAACAAAGTATTTATAAAGAAAAAAAAAATCCTTTTCATTAAAACCCTACTTGCAAGAGCAGTTTTTGACATCTCTCTTCTGATAAACTTCTGCCACTAAGGAAATGTTATCTGCATATAAATCCCAGTGCAATCAGTCACTATTATGACCTTTTTTTTTCCAGTTTGCCACAGCTTCTTTAGAGGTAGGACACCAGAAAACCTTACTCTGCCAGCTGCTGATCTCTGTCCTTCCTATTGACTTCAAGGGCACTCAGAACTCACTGCACTTGACCTCCAGCCCTGGGCTCAGGGAAGGCACACACGAGTTTGGACCTGCAGTGCTCATGCTCACCCATGACATCTGAACAAGAAAACACTTTACAAATGAGTACTGACAAAAGTGCAACAAAACAAAGCTAAACACAGCACTTCCTTTCTCAAAGCTCTACTTCCTCCCTGTTTAGACAGCCAAAAACACAATGACATTAAAAGCTGGGGTTTCCTCACCTGTTCTCCATGATTTCTCTCACAGCAGCCACACTTGGTCCTGTCCCGAGGTGTGTGTAATAGGGGCCTTCATCTTTTTCTATAATTTGCTCTGGAAACAGGTAAAGAAAACTATGTTGGCACATCCAAAAATTGATTTACCTCATTAAAAGTAAACTTAGAAACAGTTTACAGAAATGCCTTCCAAATTAAATTAGAACACCAAGTTTGAGCCTGAATAAAGAGTATGACAGGCTTTTCTCTTCAGATACTCTGAAATTATTTTATGCTCCAATGATTCTGCTAGCATTTTTTTAATGTTATAAAGTAAAACCCTAATTAAAGAATGCAGAACATTGCTGTAAAACTTTCATTAGAGGAGCTGGCATGCAGTGACTACATAAAATTCCCAATGTCCTTGTTGGTAGGAACATTATTAATTCATTTCAGACAAACAGGAATTGAGGGCAGTACAAGAAATTAACTGATAGTCATATCCTACAGAACAGAAACCATAACCCAGGCCTCTAAGCAAGCCCTCTGTTGATTCAGAACATGGAAGCAAGGTGACAATCTGCCTGCAGATCATTTGCTGAGAGGTTCTGAGCTGTCCCTCCATCTGGGTGCCTCCATGGTGACAGCACAGCGTGTGTGACACCCTCAGGCAAGCCCTCCATGCCCAGCTTGCTGTGCCACCTCCTGCTGCACCAGAGGCACTCTGCAAGTGGGCCCTGAGCTGTCCCCATGTGGCCACAGGTGTCAGGAGCCTGGGCCTGGACTCTGCCAAGCCATCAGGACTGACAGTGGCAGCAGCAAGGCCGCCCCAGCTATGCCCTCCTGCTTGTCCAACAGATTTCAGCAACAAGAACAATGCACTGAGACACTGCTGCCAGCCCACTCAGGCACAAAGCAGCTCTAGACCATCAAATTCATGACCTGAAACAATGCAGGGAAGTGCACATAAAGCACAGGTCAGCAATGGCAGAGCAAGGAACAGAAAAAGTCCCCTTCCTCCAGGTTTAAATTAAGTGGAGGATTTAAAGCTGCCAGCTGCAGTACAAACCTACTCAATTGTGCTGCGCTCTGCAGGCCCAAAGAACACCAAGCAAAAGTTGCAAAGAGGGGAAAGAAAATTCCTCCTGTCTTCCAATGGTGAAACACTGATCCCTGTGCAACAGCTGTCACATCCACTTCCTCACATTAGAGGAAGCAACGTGAGCACACCTCCATTTGAAACGTACAGGCAAAAGTTAGCAAAACCACTTACCAACACAGTCACAAGTTGGCAATTCAGATTGTCCTTTTTTGGTAGGTGTGTCTATTAAATTTTTTGTAGGGGTATCAAGAAACTTCATGGGTGATTCAAGGAAACTGCTGAGCGTGTTTTTTGCTGGGGAACACCCTGAGTCGCCTGTGCTCGGGGCGTGGTCAGCACCCACTCTGGTTGATGTCAGAACGGTCACCTCACCCACACACTCCACATTCCTGAGAGCTCCAGCAGCACCTGGCACCTGGGCCCCAGCACAGGGAGCAGGCAGCACCTGGCACTTCGGCTCTGCCTGCTGTGTCCCCTGCTGCCCATGGGCTTTGCTCTCACTACACACTTGGTTAGCTCTCACGTCACACCGGTTAACGCTTGCTGGCAAAGGAGGCGCCTGACTGACATTTGCTGTTTGCTGTACCTGAGAATTACATTTTTCTGTAAACATCTGTAGGTTTTCAGTTGGCCTTTTCAACAAGGATGCTGTTTTCAGCTGAGAGCCAGCCAGAGGATTACAGGAGGACAGGTCGCTGTGCTGGCTACGTGCAGCAACTTCATTTTTCATTGGATCAGCACCTAGTGGGTCGCTGGAGCCCACAGTTTTCATTTGCTCATTCACTGCTTCACAGCCAAACAACCTGTCTTTTTTTTTCTCCTGTGGTGCCTCAGGTAAGCACCTGTGGAATTTTATCTGTGCTTGTGGAAGAAATAATCTAGTTTTCTCTTGTGATGCTAAAGTGTTTTGACTGAGCGCTCTCTGTACTTTGGTTCTCGGAGATTTTTTTTCAGATGGAGCCACCCTGGAGTCCTGTGGCATGGTTTGACCAAGCTTATGCAGTTTTGATGATATCCAAATGTCCTGCAACTCCCTATGCTGGCATGACAACAGCTCTAGCTGGTTTTGATTATTTTGTTGATAGCGTGCTTCTTGAGGCTTCTTTCTGTGTCTCTGTTTCCATGGCACACCATTTCCTTTCTTATTGGTCGCCTGCTTTTGCTTCAACAGCAAGGAACTATAATTACGCCTAAAAAATACAGATTCTTTTTTCTGCACCACTTCTTGGTTATATTTTGGCTGCCTCTCATGTGATATTAGATTAAGCAGGGATGCCTTTATGTTGTTCTTGTGCTCTGGATTCGTCTGGTTGGATTCAATCAGGGCTGCCAGTTGAGTTAGCTGTGCAGCCACGTCCTCTTCATCCTGGCTGTGAATCCCTCCTTCTTTAACCAAAGAACCACCTTCCAATTTCACATCACCACACGATGGCTTTTGCTCTAACTGGCCAGGAGCTTCCAAGTTGTCCCCTGAATGCTGGACATCACATGAAGCATTGCAGTACCCTGAGAGGGGGACTGGATCAGGAACACAACTTTTGTTGGAATCGTATCCCGAAAACGATGCTGCATTAGATGTTAGGTCAGATAAAGGTTTGGTATCTCTTGAGGGTGACTGTAATTTATACATCTCCCCAGCTGGACTGGCAGGTTTATCACACAGCTCAGACACTGAACTTTGGCCATTGTACAACACTGCCTTATTAGGGAGCTGCGTGTGCGGGTGAGCGCAGTGAGCCAGGAGCTGCTGCTCATTCTGTAAGTAAGTGTCTTTGATTTCTTGTAATGCAGAGCATGTAAAGGAGGATGAGATATCCCTTTCAAAACTGTGGAGCAAGTGGGAAGTTGTTTCTCCTACATGTTCAGTACTTTCACTTTTAGCTGGTGAAGTTGTTTCTAAAGGAGCTTCAGATAACTGTGTTAAAGCTTCAATAGCTACAACCTGCTCCAGAGTTAAATTTCTGGTTTTAATCAGGGACAAGAAAGTGGGCTGGAGTGCAGTATTCTCAGGCTGTGTCTCCACACTTGGTACTGTAAGGCCATCCTTCCCTGCCTGCAGCTCCCCTTCAGGCAGCAGAGGACAACTCAAGCTTTCTTGCACATCCAAGCTGGAACCTGTCTGCAAAACTGACTGATCAGAGCACTCAGAGATGCTGCAGGTGCAGTTTTCCTCTTTCATTGAAACATCCCCTTGGTTTTCTGGGTGAACACAGCCAGGGCCGCTTGTCAGAGTGCTTACTATGTTACTCAGAGTGCCACCCGTTGGCCATTGCATGTGGGAGTTGCTTGTCAGGTCTGTCCTTTCCTCTGCAGGGGCTTTGTTCAGTGAGGGAGCTGCTTCTGGTGGTGAATAATGCAGGGTGCTGATGCCATTTCTGGAGGGGTGCACCGAGGGCTTTTTTGGCTCAGGGAGGTGACAGGGAGAGGCTGGGCTGTGCTCAGCGTGGTTCAAGTGTTGGGTGCCTGTCACAGCTCCGTGGGTGTCACCATTGACATGGACACCAAAGGATGGCTTCTCTGCATGTGCCCACCTCTCTGCTTCCAGGCCAGTCATGCTCTCCTTCTCCTTACACTGCACATTCTCAATGGGCACTGCTTGGCTTGTCTTCACCCTGTATTTTTCACCATGACCACATATACTGCATTCCATGAGTTCTGGTCTGCGGCCATTGACTGCTTTGTTTTCTAAATGTGCCTATAAAACAACAATAAAAAACCCTTGTTGTAACAGCTGCTCAGAGCACATTCAAAATAAGAAGCTTCATATTTACAGCAATTAAACCCTACTTGGACAGATACAAGGAATATCCTAATTAGGCACAGACACTGGAAAATAAACAAAACAGGAAGTTATAAAACAACCTGAAGGCTAAGGACCCTATCCATTTTTAGAGCTATTTTTCCCCACTGCTGAGGGACAGAGGAGGAAACTGGCTCAGTGTGGTGGTGGGAGACTAATGAAATGAATAGCCAGAAAAAGGATGTTAGCATTTAGAATGAGATGTAAGGATTCCATTTTGAATTTGCTTGCATGAGCAGATTAAAAAAGGGTAAAAAAATTACGTTAAAAGTAAGACTGAAATCCAAGAGATTATATTACAAAGTCCAGCAGTAATTTGGCATAATTACATTCATTTGGCTAGACCAATAAACTGGCTTAACCAATACCTCTTGGTTGGATACTCTAGCTAATCCTGCAAACCAACCATTCTTGCTTCAAGTCCTTAAATAATTACAAACCTTAATTTCATTAAGCAGAAATGACAGAAAGCCAATTTACATCAGCTCACTTGGAAGTTACTCTTTAAACAGTTGTTTAGCTTCTGTATTTAGATGGAAAATTCCAGGTTTCTCCACAGTCTCTCATTCAAGCTATTCAAAACTGTATTTTAAATGCTACATTTTAGTGTTTTGTTAAATATGTTCTTCATTTTCACTGATATTATACAGTTCATGTGGTTGAAGCAATGTCAAAATCTAGACAGAGTCAGAACATTGTGCCCTGGAAAGAATATATATATATAGATTTTAAGATAGTATTATGGATATGAAGTAAGGAGTTATACAAAGTAAAAAGAAAAATAATTAAGGCAGAAACTTATGCAGAACACTAATTAAGGCAGGAATCCAATTTTTCTTATGCTATTCATATTTTTTTATATTAAATTTCCTTTAAAAATAATTTTCAATCACAGTGGGTAGTGCTGTTCCTTTATCTGACTGCAACATTTAAGAGTTCTTCAGTCCCCTGTAACCTTAAGCTACACTTAAAAGAAAAGCAGGACTGCTTTT